TTATTTATTTCATTATTACATATAAAGTATATCATATAATTCATTATATAATTAAATGTTGAAAAATGTATTTATTTCATTAAGAAATACCATAGATGAGAGCTTGATAGGATAGAGCTAGGCTGGAAGAGAACATACCACACAAACGTCTCTTCTGGACTCACCAGACGCTTTTGCCTGAGTGAATCCGATTAGCTGGTCACGTGACGACGCTTCGTGATGAATACATTGATTCTAGAGCTGCATCTAACGATTATTTTCCAAATCGATTAGTTAGCCAATTATTAAGTTCGATTAATCAGATAAAAAATAAAATACATTTTAAAAAATGGCTCCAGTGATGGACTACTAGTTTGTATTGAGATTGCACTCCATCACAGGAGCAAGCTTGGAGCGGTGGAAGTAAAAAAGAAAAAAAAAAGTGTGCTGTACAATGTAGTGAAATGAAAAGTGTAAAATTATACAGCAATGAATGCAGAATGGCATCGGCTATAGAGGACTCCAAAACCCAGCAATAGTACATTATATCTGGCGGTATTCTGCATTGCGCTGTATAATGTACTATTGCTGGGTTTTGTAGTCCTCTATAGCTGGTAGTATTCTGCATTGCACTGTATAATGTACTATTGCTGGGTGTTGTAGTCCTCTATAGCTGGTGGTTGCGATCGTGGATTTGGGCGGACAGTGAGCGTGAGGCAGGGAGGAGGTGCGGAGCGTGGATGCGGGCGGGTCTGGCAGCGGCGAGCGTGAGGTGGGGAGGTGTGGCGCGCAGCGTGTGTGGAGCCGTGAACAGGGCCAACCAATCGGAAGCCGATTAATCGATGATTGAAAAAATTGACAACTTTTTCAATAATCGATTATGTCGATTAGTTGTTGCAGCCCTAATTGATTCGCGTGTTCTGATTGGCTAGAGATAAACGTTTTCATCTCTCGACGCTACGCAAGCTGTCGCCAAGCTGAGCGGGGGATCGGGCTTTGCTAGACACACTGCTCGCGAAGGGCTGCGAGTCGCCGCTTGCCTGTGCTCCACGCTGCTGCGCGTGCAATGTGTGAAACTGATCTACTGGCAGGATCAAAAGGTAATAACACTTACAGTTCCAGGGGGCTCAGAAATAAAAAAACAATGTATTGTCTACTGAAAGAGTTTATCATATATGTAATTTTCATGTTGATGATCGTCGCACTTTAAGCGCATACACATCACATCATAACAATGCGACTTCTTTTGGGTATCTTCAGGGATTTGATCAGTAGCTCTTACCTGTTCATCATCTCTGACAATCCCTTCATCTTGATTATAAGAGTCCCCTGTTCTAAGCTGATAATCTGCTACTTTTATCAGGTAGTTCTCCACTTCTCGTTCAGGGAGAACACTAGGATCCCAAAGCAGCTGGTCTTTATCCTGAGAATCTGTAAAAACCACAATGCCTTAATCATGTTTCTCAATTATATACATTTATATATATTTTTTTTAGAGGTATTTATATAGTGCCAACAGTTTACGCAGCACCTCACATGCACACCTGCACATTCACATCTATTCATACCCTCAAGAAGCATACAATCTAGGTCCCTATCTCACATACTACAGATGATTTAGACAGGAGCCAATTAGCCTTCCAGCATGTCTTCAGAGTGCCTGAATATAAGCACTTACAACAAATAAAATCTTAAGGTTAAAATATTATATGCATTTAACTGTGTTAATTCTAGCAGATTGTTGTAGTAGATTTCTAATTGTAATATAACCCTTAACACAAAACAGACACCAAACTACGGCTGCAACCAATTGACTGATAATAAATCGATAATGAGAATAGTTGTCAACAATTCTCCTTAAACTTTTTCTCATTGAACTTTTTCCTTCAGGTCCCTCCTCTGCTGATTGACAGCAGGCAGTGGGAGGGTGCAATAGCTAGCCTGCTATTGGCTACTGCAATTCAAAATAGCCAATAGCAGACTGGCTTTTGCACCCCTCACCCCCCTCTGCTGTGGTTACATTCAACTGCTGGTTGCAGAACCTTGCCACTGGCAGCTGTCATTTTCCAGCTGAAGCTATTCAAGCACGGTATGCTCTTGAATAGCTTCTTTGAAATGGAAAGGTGACACGGCCCCTAATATCACCTTAAAAATAACCTGTCACCTCCAATGTGCTATCACATAGGGGGCTTGTGTTAAAAAATGAAGTTAAAAAAAAAGTTTAACAAAATAAAGTTAAATAAATTTTTTTAAAAGTCCCCCGGCCCATGCTCATACTAACAGAAACACAAGTCGGGTGCGTTGATTGAAGCCAGTTGTTCCTCTGAATTACAGTAAGACCATTTACTTGGAAGGACTGGGTCTTTGATATGTCTTTATTTATCTGTTTTTATGTAAGTGCATTTGGTTTTATTTGTTGAAACTTGATAAACCTTTTTACCCGATGAGCTTTCTCTGCGTTTATATGTTGGTATACGGAAGAGAAAGAGCAGTCAGAAAAGTGGTTTAATCATTTAGGATTGGAATACTTGGAAGTTTTCAGATCTTGCTTTACATCAACGGTTCTGAGGTACTTTCCCTTGGCGCTATCTGAACTTAGAATAGTAAATACAGGGTCACATTTAATCTGGTGAGTGTAATGTGGTGAAAGGATCACAGAGGTGTACTACACAATTTAATGTTTGAGAACATTAAACATATATACTACACTTTGTGCGTGTGATTATATATATATTTTGCCTATGTTTAACATTTCATTTCTGCGCTGTGTATAGAACTTAAAAAAATGTCACGTATCACAGCGTGCACCAGAGTGAGTACAATAATTGTCGGGCCAATATTCATGGCTAACTCTAAACTGATGACCGGGCTTATTATTTTAAAATATATATATATATATGTGTATATATATCTTTTCTATATAATTGCATTTTGTGTCCAATTTTGGGATGTTATTTTTAGTAGTAATAGTTTGGCTATTTTAATATATTGGCTTGGAGTTTGTAAAATCAGTTTATTTTAAATCCATAAACCTAATAAAAATGTCTAATAAAATGCATACAAATATAATTTTTTTTTTTTTAAAAGGTGGGAATAAAAGGCATTTTCAGTCTTGACCTGCCAAATTCGGCTACAGGAGGTGCGTTGCGGTGCCATTCATTTCAATGGCACCCCAAACGCGCCTCCTGCCCACAGTGCAATCGCCCACACTAACGCACGGTACCACAATGCCGTGCGTTCCAGTGCAATTGCAAAAAATTGTGCATGCTGTTTTATTCTGTAGTAAACTTTGTGTCTGTAACATTTTATTTGTGTATTTTATTTTAGATAAAGGATGGTATTTAATTTTTCTTTAATCCAATTAATCGAAAAAATTATCAGCCAACGAATCAATTATGAAAATAATAGTTAGTTGCAGCCGTACACCATATCACAATGTGTTACCTCTCCCACCAGTCGGAGTGTATCTCAGATATGGGAGTTGAGGCTCAGATCCTAAAAAAACTTCCTGAAAAGAAAAAAAAAATTCCATTGAGACATGGCAATGACAAATACATTTACCATCACCTGCCAGTCTGAGGTAGACGTTTTACAAATCATGTTGCCCTATGATGGGGTTTACTCTATCACTGATGGTCCAATTTTTCACACATATGATAAAGACTTGAAAATTTACTAAAGATCACCTAAACTAAATAATTTCTGAAACCAGAGGACTACAGAATTAAAAGATCATAGCTTTAAATTTCAATGTTGCATGATATCTGTGCAAATCTATATCTTCAGCAAAAGAACACCATTTTTATTTGCACACAATGTCAAATCATTTTTATTTCCAATTCAATTGTTTTTAATAATCTCTACAAAAAAATAGCTATGTCCTAAATTTAAATAGGCAACACATTAAAAACTATTACAATCATAATTTTAGAGTTAAAACCTAAACGATAGGCCTATAACACAGCACTTTCTATTCATAAACCATGAGATATACTGCCACCTATAGAAGAACTAGACACTAGGCATTAAATACTGAAAGCCAGCCCCTAGAGGTCATAATCCCTCCCTTGCCCATCCTGCTCAGTTGTACTATGTACAGAAAAAACAACTGGAGAGCCTGCCCACTATGAGGGGCAGGGAAGTGAACAACAAATAGATTCCATTTGCCTACTTTTTTATTTAATTTTTTTAATCATGGGGCATACATCTACTGCTTGCTAGCAGTAGAAATATGCCAAAAAATAAGAGATTTGAATTATACTTTAATCCACTGTCCAGCATTTTAGCTGAAATTTCCTATGCATTTGAACAGACAGCAAACAAATCTCTACCGGAATACTGATTGCCTTGTTAAGGCATGGCACTAGTGAATCCACTGCATGTGAAGCAGACCATTTTTCAGTTTAAAAGTCCTTCGTGAAGAGGAAGCAAAATGGGCTGGACTGGATGCTTCAAATCCTTGTATATTAAATCATCCAACAAAGAATTTTGATTCAAAATCCCCGGAGGAGCACTTATGTTTGTATGATCCTAGGCTAGCTACCTTGCTAGAAGCGAGAACAGCAAAATCCTCTTGCATTTAAGTCCTTTGTATTGCCTGTATAAGGTTTGAGACTGTTTCTCTCTGTGAATAGACTAGGTGAACTGACTATTTATCTTCACTCAAGTGAAGTAAGGATTCTGCCTCAGATACATGCTCTACAAGAAGAATCTAGAGCCGACTGTGCAGAGGTTGGAATCTTTAAAGCTAAAGGTGATTCAGGGAAATTCTTGAGGGAAACCTGTTTCAGTCTGCCAGAGATTTGAGACTAGGACGGAGGTTTGCCTTCCAGCAGGACAATGACCCTGAGTATACTGCTAAAGCAACGCTGTTGCTCCCATGCAACCATAAAGGGTCATTCCCAAAAAGTGTGAAACCTACTCACCAGACTGGCGAGTCTTCAGAGAAATAAGGACAATCAAACCACAGCCATGGACCAAGAAAATACTCTACAGTAAAGCGACAGATTTTTAAATGCTTCTGGCCCGACACATGTAGCAGATCCCTGTGCTGACAAAGACACATCCAGGTGTGCATCTGCAGGGATATGGCCTCTGTAGGCTGTCACAGTGATATCACCAATGTTTTTCCCAAAGTAATTGGGAAAACCTGACTGGGGATACCGTATGGATTTCAGACATCTGGCCTAAATATACCAGCAGCTGTTGATGGAAGAAAAATTCCTCATGATTGGATCTACCTCCTTGAGCGCACTAAGTTAAACTTAAAAGAATAGTTAATCTAAAAACAGAAATATTACGAGAAGGTTAATAAAGCTCATACCCTCTCAGCTAACAAACTAAGAGCTGAGGGCAACTGTAAACAGGTTTCTGCTGTTCAGGATCCCACAGGATCTCTCCAATAGCCGGAAAAAAAATAGCTGGAATTTTTTGCGACTATTATGAGAGTCTCTATAACCTTCAGGGTCCAGCTTTTGATGATCCAGATGGAGATCTGGCTTCTCGAATAGCAACGTACCTTGATTTATGTGATCTGCCTTCTGTATAAATGCTCCTGTCAGGAAGTCAGGCTTGGCCCTTGTGCTCGGAATCCTGCATGGGCATCTGCGCATGCGCATAGTTTGGCTCACAAAACTGTGCACCACCAGGCGCCTCTGCGCAGGTGTGTGCACGTTGGCGTGTGCGCTGATGTGCGTATGCGTGTGTTGTGGATTTTCACGCAAAACGGGCTATTTAAGGCTGTGACATTCTAACCTCCAGTGCTGACTGGTCTTCAGCTGTTCCTTGTACCTGTAACCTGAACCCAGCATCCTGACTCTGATCTTATGGTGTTTGACCCGGCTTGGCTATCTATTCTGCTGCTCTTCTGGATTCCCTCGACTTGTTTCTGACCGCTGCTCTGTACTTCACTGCCCGCAAGTTGCTGATCCGGCCTGTCCCTGACTACGCCTTGTCTACTGTCCTGGTACCTGGCTCGACTGTTACAGATCCGGCTTGTCTTGGACTTCCCTGCTACCAGCACTCGTGCCTCTCCTGTCCTTGTGCACCTGTTCCACCTCCAGAGGGTCTTGGACTTGAGCTGCAAGAGAGGCCTTCCTCATCAACTCAGACTCTTCTAAGGTACGTTGTTCTGACAGCTCCATTATCCATGGAAGAACTGCAATTAATGATCGATCAGTTGCCCAATGGGAATTTACCAGGACCTGAAGGCTTTCTCTATCTTTACTACAAAAATGTTTACCACATTCTTGTACTCCATTCAACTGACCTTTTTAATCAATTCCTTCAGGGCAAGCATATACCTTGTTCTTTTCTATACTCTTACATTACAGTGATACCAAAACCTGACAAAGATTTTAAACAATGTTCTAATTACAGGCCTATAGCCCTTCTAAAGTCGGACGTAAAAATATTTACCAAAGTCTTAACTACTAGATTAGCGACCTTGCTTTTGCGATTAATCCATAGACCAAGTGGGCTTTATCCTATCTAGGCAGCAAGTGATAATACACGGAAAATTGCAAATCTCATTGATATAGCCTCTCATACTCCCACGGAAACACGATTGCTTAGTTTAGATGCAGGAAAAGCCTTTGATAGGCTCAATTGGCCCTTTCTTCATGCTACTTTGACGTGTTTTGGCATCACTGGCCCCTTTGCTGCACTCACTCACTCTCTTTATTACATACCCACAGCCTCGGTTAGGCTTCGTCTGGCTACTTCCTCTCCGCTCAACATTAGGAATGGCAGGAGGCAAGGCTGTCCGCTCTCCCCTCATATTTGCTTTAAGCATTAAACCTTTAGCAGCACATACACTATATTGCCAAAAGTATTGGGACACACCTCCAAATCATTGGATTCAGGTTTTCTTTAAAATTTCCTTGCTACTAAATATTCCATGGTCAACTGTTAGTGGTATTATAACAAAGTGGAAGCAACTGGGAACAGCAGCAACTCAGCCACAAAGTGGTAGGCCACATAAAATGACAGAGCGGGGTCAGCGCATGCTGAAGCGTACAGTGCGCAGAAGTCGCCAACTGTCTGCAGGGTCAATAGCTACAGACCTCCAAACTTCATGTGGCCTTCAAATTGGCACAACAACAGTGCGTAGAGAGCTTCATGGAATGGGTTTCCAGGCCGAGCAACTGCATCAAAGCCTTACACCATCAAGTGAAATGCAAAGTGTCAGTTGCAGTGGTGTAAAGCACACCGCCACTGGACTCTAGAGAAGTGAAGACGTGTTCTCTGGAGTGACGAATCACGCTTCTCTGTCTGGCAATCCGATGGATGTGTCTGGGTTTGGCGGTTGCCAGGAGAACGGTACTTGCCTGACTGCATTTTGCCAAGTGTAAAGTTTGGTGGAGGGGAGATTATGGTGTGGGGTTGGCCCCTTAGTTCAAATGAAGGGATCAGCATACCAAGACATTTTGGACAATTTGATGCTCCCAACTTTGTGGGAACATTTTGGGGATGGCCCCTTCCTGTTCCAACATGATTGCACACCAGTGCACAAAGCAAGGTTCATAAAGACATGGATGAGAGACTTTGGGGTGGAGGAACTTGACTGGACTCCACAGAGTCCTGACCTCAACCTGATGGAACACCTTTAGGATGAATTAGAGCGGAGACTGCGAGCCAGGCCTTCTCGTTCAACATCAGTACCTGACCTCACAAATGCTCTTCTAGAAGAATGGTCAAACATTCCCATAGACACATTCCTAAACCTTGTGTACAGCCTTCCCAGAAGAGTTGAAGCTGTTATAGCGGCAATGGGTGGGCCAACTCAATATTGAACCCTACGGACTAAGACTGGGATTAAAGTTCATGTGCCTGTAAAGGCAGGCGTCCCAATACTTTTGGCAATATAGTGTATTCAACAATCCCCAGATATCTCGGGCATTGACCTTCATGGCCATCAATTTAAAATAGCACTATTTGCTGATGATGTAATTTTGACCCTGACGAATCCAATAATTTCCTTGCCCAATTTATACAAGCAATTGTCGAACTACTCTGCTCTTTCAGGTTACCGATTGAATGCCTCAAAACTGAGGCCTTACCCCTTACATTTTCACCAACTGCTCTAGCAATTTTACGCTCTTCACACTCTTACAACTGGAGGTCACATAGCCTGAGATACCTGGGTATTCAGCTCACTTCCCATCCTTTTTCTTTATATGACGCCAACTATAAATCCCTCTTTAAACTGTTAAGAACATTGTTGACCCAATGGAAATCCTATCATTTATCTCTGACGGGCAAACTAGCAGCTATTAAGATTACTTTCTATACTCGCCTCCTTAAAGATTCACTCACGGCTCCCTGCAGGGATTCCTCCCTCCCCTGTCCGATCCTCCAGCGCTGACTGGTGGAACGGACGGGGCGGGTACAGCTGGCTCTGCCTCTAGATAGGCAGAGCCAGCTGTTACTCACGCAGCTGGGTGGATTCAGACAGTAATGTAGGGATCCATCCCGGCTGCGGCGTCTCAGTATACCGCTGTAGCTCGCGGTATACTGAGCTTTGGGTGACGGGAGGACGCTAGTTTGTGTCCTCCCGTTACCCTTAGGAGAACTATGGGGAAAAGCTCTGACCCCATTGTTCTCCATTAAACCATACTCTGACCACCATGGGATGGCCAAGAACTAGGTTCTGCAGATTGATTTGCCCTTACCTCCCCCTTTTTTTATATTTCTTTGTGCTGTTGCCTTGGGTTCAACCAGCCGTGCTCCTCTTTTTCTACTTTTTCTTTTCTTTCTTCTTTTTCTTTCCCCTCTTTTTCTCTACTTTATTTTTTCTGTTCCTTTTTCTTCTAATGTACTCATTGTTCAGAAAGTTATTCAACTTGTTTTACATTTATGATAATGATAATGTTACTAGTTTACTATTATTGCTCTGGTTATTAGCCTTATGAGCATACAATTTATGACATTCCAATAGTTGTCTATGTACAGGCTGAATTCTTTATTTGAGGTCATTTTGCTGTCTGTATTAACATTTTCTTACACATCACTGCTGTACTGTTTTTGACTTTTATACGTCAATAAATATGACAATCATAGAAAAAAAAAAAGAATAAGGATGGTTAAAAGGAGGGGTTTTGGTACCTAGAGAGCTGTCCATTTTGTGGCCAAAGTTTAATTCTCCTGTGGATAGCAACATATAT